GACAACGCGTGTTTCGCGATCATTAAGGCACGCGGAATGCGGGCGCATATATTTCACCACAGTACGCACTTGGTTTCTGTATGAAAATTGTCACCACTATGATGAAGAACCGACGCTCTATCGCGCACGTGATTCACCAAGAATATACCGCTTGGCGGAAGCCCGCTCTTAAGCGCCAATTCTCTTGTGTTAAATCGACCTCGAGACTATCAACAGGTAAACCGTACAGCAACGAAGCTCGTCGGCATCGTAGACGATCCTCATCCTTCTCCCGTATGATCTGCGTAAACCTTGTACCCCGCTCAACTCTTTGCCGTTCTGGTATGTCGAGAAAAATTGGGTGCATTCAGTACTACAATCGCTCACTGAACTCTTAGTGAGCTCTTGCATCTGTTTGGTCTATATTTTTGGATCTATTGGAATATGCCAATTAGATGCAAGAACTCACTGAGCGGTGTAGTACTAAATGCACCCATTGAAACTACCATCTGTCGGTGCACGAAATACGAATGGTTCGTTAAAAGTCCGTTTAAATGAATTCACGTCTGGAGAGGTCACTAGAAACTAATTTATTGGATGCGTTTTAAAACTCATCAAAAAGATATCAAAAGAGAAACCTGAGAGAAGACTACTTCCAAGAACTTTTTGAACTTACTAGTATATTATTGAAATCGATTATCGACAAAGAAGATAGATATTGAAAAATTTAATGTTAATGCCTCTTTTTTTCTTGAAATCAAAATATTTTTTTCAGCGTCGAAAACGTAGAGAATAATCGATGAAAGACTATAAGAAGAACATCTTTGATAGCCATTTCAATAGTCTTTTTTTTTCTGTTAGCCGAAATAAATTTTTCAGCTAACAGCCGCTGAAATTTGGCTGAAAAGTATTCCAAAATCTGAAATAATTTCAGTAAAATTTTTCTATCAGCGTTATGTATGTGTACCAGTGTGTATGATATTTTATAATTATTATATATTATACATTTATTGGGTTGTTCAAAAAGTCATTGCGTTTTTTCCAATAGATGGCGTCCACGTTTGTTTGTATGCGAGCGTGACATGAATGTCAAATGTTTACGCGCGTTTTGTTGTTGACACTCAACCTAAAAATTAAAAAAAAAAAGTTGACGCGATTCGGTCGAGTTTTGTGCTTGCAATTGTAGTTCTAACATGGAGAATTTTGAAGAGCATATTTGCCATATTCTGTTTTATTACTTCAAAAAAGAGAAGAAAGCAACTGAAGCAAGGGAAAAGTTGCGTCGAGTTTACGGCAGAAATCGTCAAAGAACGCCAGTGTCAGAACTGGTTCGCCTGATTCCGTGATGGTTTTTCAGTCAAAGACGCTCATCGCTCCAGTAGGCCTTCCAAGATTGACGATGATGAAATGAAAGCATTGGTGCAAGCAAATAAGCATTCAACAGTTCGGGAGCTTGCTACCGCTCTAAAAGTTCATTGAAAGTGTTCATGGCCATTTGAAATCACTAGGCTTCGTAAAGAAGCTCGATCTTACTGCATGAGTTGAAAGAAATTCATCTGACGAATCGCATGAGCGTCTGCGATCAACTCATCAAACGCGAAGAAAACGATTCGTTCTTGAAACGTATGATCACGAGCAACGAAAAATAAATTGCTTATAACAATATCAGCCGAAAAAGAAGTTGGAGTAGGCGAGATGAAGCACAGAAAAGCAAGCAAAGGCAGAGATTCATCAAAAGAAGGTAATGCTGTCAATGTGGTGGGATTGGAAGGGATCAGTCTTCTATGAGCTACTTCCAAAGAACAAAACGATTAATTCCGATGTCTACTGTGAGCAGCTGCAGAAATTAAGTGATGCCGTCGCACAGAAACGTCCCGAGCTAATCAATCGTAAGAGTGTGGTGTTTCACCACGACAATGCGATACCACACATAAGTTTGGTCACTCGGCAAAAATTATTGCAATATGGTTGGGATGTATTACCACATCCACCGTATAGCCACCTTGCACCATCAGACTTCCATCTCTTTCGCTCCTTGCAAAATTGCTTGAATGGTAAAACATTTGCTTCTGAAGATCTCATCAAACAGCACCTAGACAAATTTTTCGAGAATGGGAAGTTTTATGAATGTGATATTATGAAGTTGCCCGGGAGATGGCAGAAGGTCATCGAACAAAACGGCCAATATATCATTGATTGAATATTCATTACGTACATTAAATAAATACATCTGAAAATCAAATGAAAAAAACGCAATGACTTTTTGAACAACCCAATATTATTATACAGTACATTAAAACTAAGCAAAACATTCATATTTATAAATTTAGATATTTTATAAAATTTTTAATAAATTTA